CCTTTATGTCACACATAAACAGGAAGGACCTACTCTGTGTGTGTGTGTGTGTGTGTGTGTGTGTGTGTGTGTGTGTGTGTGTGTGTGTGTGTGTGTGTGTAAACAAGGAGGAAAAGAAGATTTCTGGATAGAGATTTATAATCCAAAATCGGAGTTTCATCAATGCAATCTGCTCTTATCTGATGGGTTTTTTTTGTGCAACCTTAGCTCAGACATCCATTATAAAGACACCTGCAGGCTAAAACAAAAACCCCAAATACAGCGACCTCAGAGGCAAAGTTTGGCTGCAACGGATCAACTAAGAAGTGGTTCCAGACCCGGCTGCAGCCCACAGAACTCCCGAGGGAGGCCGAGGCTTCATGAAAAGTAGTGAGACCTAGATCAGGGCTATTCAACTATTAGCCGCAGTAAATGAGAGCAAACAGCTCAGGGGCCAAACACGCAGCTTTTATTGTCATTTAAATTGAAATTATGATTTAAAATCCTGTTTTATTTTACCCCTCCTGCTGCCTTTGGGTCAAAACGATCCACAAAGCTTCAGTCTTAACACTGAGGCCTGCTGGGTCCAGCTCCTGAACTGGTGGCTTTGAGAAACAATGAGCAGTTTAGTAAACTGTCCTGTCGTAGATCATCTATATAACACGATCACCTAGCCGACCGAAAGATTTTTTAATTTAGCCTTTTTGAATGCTTCTCTCAAGGATTTTGTCTTCCTGATTTAAAATCTAGTTTTATTTCAAATCAGCTCTATGGCGGGGCTGGACGGAGGTCACCCGCAGGCCTGATGTGGCCCCCGGGCCGCCAGTTGTGTAGCCTCCAATTTACATCCTGAAGCTGACACAGCTAAAATATGTGCGTATATAAATCCATCACACTGTATTAATATTTTTAATGTAATGAGAGCAAATTCGAGCACACATTAAAACTCACACGTCAGACACAAAATAAAAAACAGCAATCATAAATAATACTTCAGTAACAGGAGGTGTGGTCTGTGTGCTCACTCAGGTCCAAACACATCTGTGATGTTTCTGTCCTCTAATAATAAAAATGATTATTTCCTGGGCAGCTGGGTTGGGATAGTAGAAATCAGCATTTTTCAGAGCAAAAGAAATGTACCCAGAATGAAGTGAATAACGAGTGAACAAGGGTTTATTACTAAATATTTAATTTTAAAAAAATTAAAGATTGTCAATGCAAGAAAATAAATGTTTGATTAGAGTCTGAATAATTGTTTAAATTTCATGTTTTTAATCAGGAAAAAACACCTGAAAGAATGTTTGTACTTGAAGGTTAATTGTCATTAAAAGGTTCTCATTGCAAACAATAAAACGGTGCAGTTTGAATCTTACACTGGTAGTTTCCCCACGTATGCAATCCTGAAATGCAGGTATGCACTCAATGTAAACAAAGCACTTTTATATGTAGTCTTTACCAAAAAAAAAAAAATAATAATACAATGAGCGTAAATATGTCGTAATACAGTGAAACTGTTGGACATTGCCATTGTTGAGCTGTTTTCAATCACTTTGGCTTTTTAAGCAGTCAGAAAAAAATGTGCTTCTAACATTTTAACTTGCATGTTAGTATTGTCATGATTTATTTATTTATTTATTTACTTTGTAACGAGTACCTGCAAACTGCTTCTGTGTTCTGTAAATTGAAGGAAACATCTGTCTCTGCATCTGGCTGGATGTAATGTAAGTGAACACTGTAAGATAATAAAAAAAAATGCATCTGAAGCAAACATTTCTCAGGTGATGACAGCTTCCTGCAGCTCCATCCCTGTGTGTCTGCTTTGACACCTGTCATCCTGAGCATCAGCACCCACACCGGTGGGTTTGGGCTCATCCGTTACAACATGGCCTCCAGTGGCTTCATGCTAATGATCAGAGCTACTCCTGCTGCAGCTAGCCCGTCTTTCACCGCCTTAAACGCAGCGACGTGACCCGAACAGCGGCTCGGGGCTTCCCCGCGGTCGAGTTTAGGCTCAACGTGCGAGCTTCGCCCGGGGAATAGCGGTGCTATTCTCGGCCGCTTTGTGCGGCAGTCAGTGCCTCCCTCCCCAGCTAAAAGGACGGAGAGACAGGCGGCTGCTCCTGGATCATCCTTACCAAATGGAATTCTTTATTTTGAACTGTAGCGCGTTCGCCTCGGGCCCTTGGAGTCCTGGCACGAGCGCTGGGAGGGAGCCTAATCCCGAGGCAGGCTTCTGACCAGGTTGTTGTTGTTGCTCATCAGCCATCGCGCTGGATGGGGTTGGTTGGTGGGGGAGCTTTAACGAGCAGCAGTAGGCCTCATCCCCCGGCTGCTGCAGCGCTCTGCGCCCGGACCCCACCGCTGCTGGAGCGGCTCAGGCAGCTAGGACCAGCCCGCTGAATCCACCGCGGAGCATGGCTACGAACGCTGCGATCAGACCGTCGCGGAGCACAACCAGAGAAACAAACACCCAGCCGGCCGGACAAAAAGGCATTTCGCTCAGGAGCCTCTCTCCGCTGCAGCAAATAGCACGCCTGCTGCAGCCAGGCAGCAGCTTCAGACGAGCCGAGGAGCTGCGTCAAGACGTCCGCAGACAGCACCGGAAGACCGGAAGTTGAGATGATGTCGCCTGCAAAATAAAAGCGCGAGAGTCATGAACAAATCATTCTATAGACATGCAACTACTTCTCCTATAGGGCATGTTGTTGTCTTCTTATGAAGTCAACATTCCGAAAAATAATATGGATGAAAAAAATTGGAAGAAATTTTAAAATAAAGTCGTTTAGCTCACAGCCACTGTACTCAAAACAAATCAGATCACTTTGATGTAAGGTCAGGTAAATATTAGGTCTATATGAATATGTCATATTATCTTTTTGTCTGCACTGTTACAACTAGTAAACTAAAGAATAACTTTGTGAGTCTAGAAATTGCACAAGCTTGCAATTTTGTGTGAAAGATTGTATTCTTAGGAAAAGAAAAAAGACATTTACAGTAAAAAAAAAAGGGTTGCACAGTTTTTTAAGGACACATCTGGATCGCTGAACTCCATCAACATTAAGCTCAATCTGTGCAACAGGTTTTATTTTTAAAGTAATAAGACTGCCAGTCACACAATAAAAACATTATAGTGATGTCAGAGCTCTCATACAGTAATACTCTTTAGTCAAATGTACTTTTATTGACCACAGTGCTGCCTTCTTCTCAGGTTAACAAGGTTCACCTATACCTCTTCATACTTACGCTTTGGTTTTGTGGCTCAATTTTCTGTCTTGCATGACCATAAAACCTTTCTTTAGAAGACATCTGACATCTGAGGTGAAACTGACACTTTTGGAGCAGGTAGTCTTTTTGAATTGCTCCTCCTCTTGGTCCAATGTGAAACTCTGCAATGTGAACAGTTCCAACAAGTTCCAGTTAAAGGCAGGTTTTAGATGGTTTCTAAACATCTTAATCAGTTACATACCTTTCTTCTTCTAATTGACATGGGGGGAAAGTAGTGGACCTTGCTTTGGCCAAGTTAATGAATGTATGTATGAACTAGGAAAAAAAATCCAACTTGTGCACCTGTTTTTTTTTTAATTCATTGAAGTTTTATGTTGCATAACGATTATATCGTAAAGTCTTGAATGAATTGGACATTCTGACCTCAAATGCTCGTTTCAAAGTAGAAGTCGTGTTTTATTTTGAAAGCCCTGAACAGGAAACAGATGTGTTGTTGCGTCTATCATGATGTTGTGTTCGTCCTGCAGTTTTGCTGTCGGCCTGTGGGGGCGCTGCTGCAGGAAGCAGTTCGATCAGATAGTGACAATGACGGGTAAACAGCCAGGATGATATCATTTTATCATGGAAAGGCTATCAGCACGTGCATTGATCCTCGTATTGGCAGATATGTTTCTGTGAGTCGATCCGCTGATCGACATCTAGACAGGGAAATATTGTTATGGGCTTCACAGACATGATTGTCCCAAAACTGTCTTGCTCATCAAAACAGATTTTTTTTTCTCCTCCTCTTCTTTATCGGTTAAAATCTGAAACACGGAGGAAAAACAAACCCTGACGGAACAATCTGTCCCCGATACAAACAAAACATAACGTCACGTTAATACACCTGTAATAAACGTGAATGAGACAGGTGTTAAAGTGTTTTCCCCAGGTTTTAACCAGTAAATAATCAGGAATGCTGTGTGCAGGTAACTCTTAGAAACAGACGCGGGGAAATTCAGACGAATGAAGTCACCAGGTCATAAAAACAAGACGTAAATAAATAAACACGCTTTCATCATGACCTGCTGTGTGCTGCCGCCTGCTGGTGGAAACAGGTACTGTTACTCTACTGTCAGAAAAAGTGATGTAAGACAGCAACACACACACACACACACACACACACACACACACAACTATGCCTTTCTATTCTTGTGGGGACTTTCCATTGACTTCCATTCATTTTTTGGAAATTTTATAGTCTAACCCTGACCATTTACCCTAAAATTAACCTCACAGGTACCTTACCTGACCCTAAAAACCAACCTAAACTCAATTCACACCTTGGTCCTAAACCTAACCCTCCTCACCCAAAATCAGCCTACAAAGTCATGGGGACCGAGCATTGGTTCCCACACGACTGCATTTTCCTGAAAATATTGTCCCCACAGCAAAAACATGAGCCCACACACTCACAGTGGTGAATCAAGTAGTTAGTTAGTTAGTTAGTTAGTTAGTTAGTTAGTTAGTTAGTTAGTTAGTTAGTTAATTAGTTAGTTAGTTAGTTAGTTAGTTAGTTAGTTAGTTAGTTAGTTAGTTAGTTAACTAATACATTTTGCTACTAATTTATTTAGACCCATCTAAAGCCTGCCCATATTTCCACTGTTTTTTACACTTGATTAACATAATTTATATATTCACATTATTCACACGATCAAAAAAGGAACAAATCAGCCTCAAAATGAGATTTATGATGGTCGACGTGCAGAAAAAATACTGAAATATTTTTAAGCCAAGTTTAAAAACAGTTTGTGGTGTGTTTACAGTGGCTTGTAAAAGTGGTCATCCTCTCATAGGATTCCATCTGATTTCTCACCATACAACCTGGAATTTCTTTGGATTTTTGAACTGATTAAAAGCAATAATTCTCCCCAAAAAATTTAAATAAGGGGACAAAACCTGTTTTAAATAAATATAAAATTGAACAATTGCATGAACTTGTGTGTGTAACCTTGTAAGGCCTATTTTCCCAAAACGTACCACCTTGGGAGGACCCGCTAGTCCTTATGGGGCCTAAAGCCTGGGCCACATAAGTTCAAATGCTGGTTTTAGGTGAGGAGTTATGGTTAGGCTATGCAGATGAATGAAAAAATAATGGAGTCATTGTGAAGATAGAAAGACACACGCAGAAATGATGTGTGTGTATCTTCAGAAGCTACACAGTTTGTTGAAACACGGGTTTGCACAGGTGTTTATGCAAGTCACATTTTTACAAACCTGATCATGATCTGAAGGACAAACCTCAACATTTTCACTGCTGCTGGCAGCTTTGACAATGTTTCACACACATTTCAGACTCGTTAACAAGTTTCACAACGAAAACACCGTTTTTCTCGTTAGTCGTCATTTTTCTCTCTTCATGTCTGACCTTCGGCTGCTGCTATTCTGGACTGATTTGTTTTACTGTCAGTCTCCTGTCACTTGTCATTTGTCTGCGAACGTCTCGTGTCCTCCCATGTCCTTCATCCTTCTCTCCACCGTCGAGATTCACTTTTTGTTTTGTGATCGAGTTGCAGGCCACACATTAGTCAGCTAAGTTGTTCTGTAAACAAACAAACAAACAAACAAACAAACAAACAAACAAACAAACATCAAACCACAGTCAATCCAGTTTGTAAAACCAGAGAAAAATTCTGATGCAATACTGAAAAAAAAAAAACTTTTTCTTCCACAGAAATCTTTGGATTTCAGGATTTTCCAACCACATTTTTAGAAGCATGTAAAGACATTATGGAAGAAAAATAGTCTCATTAGAATCTGAATATTTTTAGACACTAAATTTATGACATTGAATTTTTATCCTCTGAAATTAAATATGTGAATTTTTTTTACTTCAAATTTGCTGGCAAAATTTCACCTGCAACTTTTCAACTGAAGAAATTTGCCAGAAAAAAATTCAACTACAGTAATTCACCAGTAAA